CTCTTTGCATCTTTTTGTTGGCAGCCTTCCTCTTCATGATGATAAGTTTGTGGTCCATTCCTAGAAGAGATGACCCAGGGTGTATTTTCGAATGAGGAATGTAGAATTTCATAAAAATTCGATTTTTTGTTCATTCTTTTGTTTCATTTACGTCTGATTCCAACACCAAGTACACGTGTTTCACCAAGAATCTTCGGATTACATATAAAAACACTCTGAATAGCCTACTTGTGCAATCGGCTTTAATACCTGGGGGCTGTAGTGATAGTGTATATGTAGAATAGATATAGTTGCATATTAATACTTCAACTCCTCATCAAACCACACCTCCGTGCTCTCCGCAAGCAAAAGGTGCCTTCACTCCCAAGCACTTAACTCTTCGACCCGTGACCAGGATTTTTATTTTTATAAGGCAAGACACAACCGTGATGGATTGGCGTATATTTGTTCCCAACTTCATCTAGCCAGATCCCATGGACGGGAAATCAGTGAGGAGCGCTGACAGCATCCAATAGCCTCAAATGGCTGCGATTACCATTATACTCGTTAGACTAATCTCCTGCCGTTACTGAACCCTAATCATTTCTAATTATTTTGCACTTTTTTCTTATACATCTCGACCGAGGCCTAATCTGAGCCTCGTCGGAGCAGGACTGGCAAATTACTTACCTTGGCAGTTGTAAAACAAGGAGGGGGGGTTTGAGTTGGTGATGAGCTCTCCTCCCCCAGTACTGCCTGAGGCGTTTCCATGTGACGTCTGCTTCCCACATCATGACCGGAATTGAAACTGTATACTGCAAAGCGTAATCGATGTGAGAGGAGCGTTAGGTGCTCCGAATTGGCCACATCTTCTCGAAATTGGAAAAATAATTACCAGGAATAGGATCCCATTTAAACGTCAATTCCCAGATGAAATCTTTTATCGACGTAAGGGTATACTCTTCGGGTGGAACTTGTGCAAGATTGGAAAGCAAAACTACCGGAAGGGTTTTCTTTTATAGCGCGAGGGGTAGAAAAGTTACAATGCAAAGGTGTTGCAATGTTGAGAACAGACCACAATCAAATGCCGATTATCAGAGTGTACATTACATTAGTAACACATCGAATTTCGATGAAAAACCATGAAGAAAATCTGAAAATGGGGAAGTGTCATAAACCTTTTCACCTGATTACTTCCCAACATTCTCCAGGCACTATTGTCGCATCCATACCCGCGTTCACACCAATGAATACATGCACGCCTCCCCGATTCATAAACAGTCCCGCACCCCACCGGTAATTGAGACAAAACGTTGGCCAATAGAAAAATGACTATTGTTCGAAATTATCGTAGCGAATGATTAGCTGCACGATGAATTAAGTAAATCCAAAGTGCCTCGACCCCACAGTTTTGATTAGGCCTGCGGGATTGGGGTTGTAAGAACACATTATGCAGTGGAGTTAGACAAATTGATATTGATCGTGGATACAAGACGATTAGCCAGCTAAGGGAGTTGTAAGCTCTAAAATTAATTTCACACGCTTGGTAATAGTAAACACATCACCACTGACTGGTGCCTGTCTGTTGCAATTATTCGCTCTTATAACATGGAGAGTATCACTTTAACAATACGTTGCAAGTCAAACAGTAATCCGTCAGCAGAGGTACAGCCGAGTTGGCCAGCGCCACTGGGAGAGAAGTGGCCGCGAGCGACAGGCAACGTGAGGCTCTTTACCTAATGAGAGCCACGAAATATTTGGACAGGCGATTTTACCAAGACAATCAGAGAGAGGAGAGAGAGCGGGAATTGAAATTGATGGTCCTCGCTAATTCTGCCATGTAATATGTAGGCGGTCCCGGTGCTTGTGTGGGTATTAGAAGGCAGGTTTTGGTGAACCTATGAACATCATTTCGCTTGAGTAGGGTCTGCCTTGGAAAAGTCACTAAATATTATTCCTGAACAATCCTCTTTCCCAAGCGTGGGTGCAGAGGCGGTTTGGGTTTGGAGTCAATCTCCCCTACTCAGATACCACAAAAGTAATAATACTAAATAAAAAAATAAAATAAAATATGAAGTAACAATTTCAGTGGTAAAAAAAAGACGACGAAAAATCTGATAGGCCTGACCCCCCCTCCGATAATTCCTTGATCCATCCATGCCTTCCATTCTTTTTAGCCCTAAATTTAATCAAAGGTTCTCTCCATCTCAGTCTTGAAACACTGATGAGAAAAAAACACATTATGTGGAAATATCCTGCGATCTGATTGCAAGAAAGGGAGACAGGGTGAACCCCTGTGACGTTCTTGATAAATTGGGTATTTGTTGTGCACCGCAATGCTGAAATCTTGGTAACGATTGGATAAATATTCAACCTCAGTTTCAAGCAGCTGGGTTTGTAGTCAAGCTCACTAACAGGACGACATTTTGCAACCGACGTAAAAAGGAAGGACAACAGCCAATTACTACGTAGGCCTACTCCATTGAAAAAAAATATCATGCCCTGCAACTGCCTCAGTCGTGTATTATAACGCCGTTGGAATGACCAGACGGGTTCTGCGATCAGTCACTTTGTTTTTTCACCAATACGAGATTGGGTTTCATCTAAGTGCGTCATTCGAGCTCAGTAAACGGTGCATCTTCCGGGGTTTTGCTACTACTAATCTCGGCTGGTTGTTTTGTTCTATTGAGGTCCTCAGGTGCATTGGGTCCAATTTTATCTCTGCTCCTTGTAAGCACTTCCCCTTTCCGGATATCGAAAAGAAGACAAAATAAAAGAACAAATAATGAAAAAACAAATCTAACACAAAACATGAAGCAATCCTAAGATGCATCGGCATCACTAACATTTGTCTTAAGTGCGCGATTATTGACAACAGAAATCGAGGCTTGAAGAAATAAGAATGAATTTGGGCTCATCTGTATTTGTTTTTCTTTTTCAATATTCATTGGAAATCAGCCAGTTGCATGGCATTGCGTTTTCAAGGTGCATACAATCCACTTCAGGATCCAACAAATTGCCTCTTATGGGCAATACAGCCGTAGTGTATATAGAGTGACATCTTGCCCACTAAGTCATACTAGGCGTCCAAAAACACAACAAAATTTGGAAGCACTATCGACTTGCTGATTGATTGTAATAACAAAAATTGCGACTTTTAAGATGGGTTTCCTTCCTTGTGTTGCTTCTCGGAAAGTCACTTCATCCGTTGTCAAACAATTTAATTAATAAATAATTTAGATAATTAATTTGGGGTCTCAAGAAGAAAGAAATTTTCAGTTTATAAGTAATATTTTCGAGTGAAAACATTTTGAGAGAAATCATCGTATGTTTTCGTGTGTAAGAAACAGCGTAAATAAAAGTTTCACTCCCCGAGACCCGGGCCAAACTTTGCAATATTCATAGTTCAATATTACCAGAACTTTTTGCAGCAATTAGTGTAATCGTTTAATTTGGGTTTGTTGCGGTTTTGGTTTTATTTTTGTATGTTTGCAAACCTAGGATTTATCCAAATAATCCACGTTGGTTAGCGACATGAAGAAACTCCTTTAAGAGAAGATTGAAGCTACGGTGGCATTGGCATGAGCAAACGAAGGAATGTTCTTGGGGTATGAGCCATGCATGATATTGATGTGCGTTTTTAAAACCCCTTGTTGTCTCGAGAAGAAACAATCATAAACAAGACAAGAAACAAATATAGTGTTATGATAACATGAGGAAGGTGAGCCACTTTGATGTGTTTTAAAGTATGCAGTACGCCTACACTTGTTTAGATTAACCTTTTTGTGGTAACGTATGACGTGCCAAATATGTTTCATGCCGTAAAAACGTATGAACTTGTCAAAAATTCCTGGTTGCCATTTAGCGTGTATAAATCAGGTATTAATTTGATTTTTTCTTTTAATACTTATTTTATGATTTTGTGTTGGAGTCGTATTTTAAAAATTGCAAAGTTTGTTAACAGTCAGTCATTCAGTCGGTCAATCCCAGTCATCAGGGACCAGCGGTCCGCCTATGGTGTACGGGCGGCAAAACGGGCGGCCCGCCGCTGACTGACGCTAGCGTCTACTCGGCGTCCGTGCTCATCAGTTTGCTGGCGGACCAATGGCATGAAAGCAATGGATGTCCAGTGGATTAACAGTATCATCGAGTGGTTGACAGTGTCGTGCACCACAAAGGTGAACAGAATTTAAACATGCTGTTTACCCTGTCTCCAACCTGTTTTATATATCTAAGGTTGCTTGTGAGGCGTAACAATTTCAAGTATTTCAATGGTGTGTTGAGTTCTGAAGAATCAATCAGTATTGTTAAATGATATAGGCATATAATACACGCAGCTTATAATAAAGCAGAAATTAGAAATCACCCCGGTGAATATTTATCTTATTTGTATTTCGATAAGTAGGCCTATGTATAAAAAAATCTCTGTTTTTTCTGCATTTCTTATTTTGTGTGACTATGGATGGCTATAAATAAAAGGTTTTATCCATGAATGCATAAAAAGCAAAACACACGCTTTAGGTGGGATCAACCTTCAACCTAACTGTTTTTGACTACATTTTCCCTCTGCTGAGCTTTTATAAGTTGGTTGAGTGTTTTGTTGTGGACGCTTTGATGTCAATTTGGAACATGGAATAGACGCTAACATTTGACGCATGGCGGCCAAAAAACAAATAGTAATTTGTCATTGATTCTGCTCAAGAAAAGTGGGATTGACAATATAACTGTGGTGTAACAAAACCACTGTTTTAATGAAGCCTTAATGGAACTAAATTTACGGCAGAATAAAGCGTAAATTTAGGCAAATGCCTGTTAAGTTTTAAAATGAAACGGTTCACTACTGAGATGGGAAGTGCCGGGGGATAGATTTGAACAGTTTTGAGTAAAAGACGAGTCATCCCCTCTCGGCCCTAATACGAACAGGCCCTTTTGCATATAAAACAAAAATGACCGGAAAATCTATTCTTCAACCTACAATTAGGCAGCATTTAAATAAATTAAAGAGTAAGAAAGAAAAGATATATCTGTAATCGTCGTCCATTTATTACCCTTTTTATAAAACAAGATATACTGAAGACTTTGATATCTTTTCCTGCAAACTTCGCTCATTAACCTCAAATTGTACTCCGGATTTCACATTTGTCAGCCTCAGAAAAGGTCATTCAAAAGTACCAATTTCAATGATACAACAATTGGTCATTGTTTCGTCGTTGGCAACAACACTTACATACGCAGAACAAATTCGAAACAACTCAACACCAACATAATTATATACGAAATAAATACTTGAAATTAATCCTGTCACATCCAAAACATCTTTAGTTTATGTACACATATGCATATACGTCCTCAACACATCACATGTGCGTTCACGATACTATCATAAAATTGTTTAGTCAACATGACACATTTATTTACACAAACACTGTTCAGCCCTATCTTGATGAGACTACATTGCACTTGTGAACATACCACCAACCATTCATTTCATGGTGTGGATTTTTGTGTCTAAATGCTATTCAGGCAGATTCCAAAAGATAGCGAGGGGCAGATATCGTTTAGTACTCGCATGTACATGTATAGTATAGTTATTGTTACGTGGCAATACTAGGCACTGAGGTACGGACCGGGACTGCCGTTGCTGCTGTTGTTAGGTGCTGGAAATGAGAAGAATACGACATCGGGAACGGGAGAACGTGGTGCCGGGATAAAGTCCCTGTCTCTGTAGACCCTTCTTGTGTGCTTCTTTGGGATGTGTTCTCATGGTACAAGATGGGTACTCGCACCATCCTCTGCGCTGCTTGAGCATGAGCTTGGACCTGAGCATGGGCTGCGTGGGCCATGTTAGCTGCCTCCAGCTCCGCAGCCATCTGTCGCTTCCATTTGTTCCTTCGGTTTTGGAACCAGATCTTAACCTGCGTCTCTGTCAGATGGAGGGATGCGGCCAGCCCAGCCCGTTCAGAGCTAGAAAGGTATCGTTTCATGTCGAAAGTGGTTTCCAGCTGGAAGACCTGGCTCCGGGAGAACACTGTGCGCGTCTTCTTCTTTTTCTTGCGCTGGCCGTGATCGTCCCCGTCTGTCGCAGACTTTTTCCCGTTGTCGCTGTCTACGTCACTGACCCGATCCTCGGTCTGATCAGGGCTGTGAGATCGGCTGGGCGGGAGAGAGCGGCTTGTAGACTTTGGCGAGTTTGGCGGGGTTGTCTTTGGGAGGCCAGTGGGTGATGGCCGGGGAAAAGGAGGCTGCTGCATCAATGCATCTGTAGGAAAAGGGAAAAAATATTTTGGAAATTAAAGCGAACGGGAGAAATTCATGTCCTGCAGACATGATGCAATTATACAAATAGGTGCTTCCATGATTCAAAAAAAGAGAACAGCCTAGCCTTACAAACCAAGTTTTAAATTTTTAAATTCCCTTTTTCAGTAAATACACCAAAAAGAGTATTATGAATACATAGACATGTGTCATGGATGCCATGCCTTTATTTGTTAAAAACTCAACCATTTCAGATATAAGATTTCCTTGTTTTTGGTTTTGTATCGAAGTAACAGAAGGAGGCATGCGTTGTATCGACAAAAAGTAAGAGCGACAAAGAAGTCTACATTGCGATGTATGTTAATTGCATGTGTGTTAAACACATTTTGGAGTCTGCTAACGAGCTTTATAGAAGTAAAAGCTCCTTGCCAGCTAATCTAATTTGTTTTTCAGTAGAACATTAAGTTGAGCTCCTTTGAAGGTTTGTTTAAATTTAGAGACAATAAGCGTCTAAACTTAATAATCATATGCACTGTTTCATATCCACAGTTTCACAAATATAACAAAACTGCTCTGGTACTGGTGGACAGCATCATTTAAATTTTGGTACTAAAATCAAGTTTAGACAATATAATGACACAACGTGCGACACACAACAGCTTGTCAAAGGAGTCAATTATCACAAAGCACCTTCTTTAAAGTTACTTTGCTTTGACACTAATCAACAAGCTTCAACATACCATGAGCAGGATGGTATGTTACATTTGTAAAAACCCGAAAGAACATTTGCAGCACCAATAAAACTGCAACATTTCAAGAAAGACTGCATTTGCGATTCAATTCAGAATAAACATTAGAGAAAGCTTGGAAATGAAAATGATGGACGTTTCATTCTCGACGTGTGTAAATCACAGTGATCATGGTGGTACAAATCGAATTATACAACTACGGGCGGATTAGGCAGAGTGCATGTGGTCAGCCATATCAAGGAATCTTCAAAATGATTTAATCTCATATCCAATGGAATCTAACATACCAACCGACGAGCAATCATTCGAGAATTGAATGGAAAGCAACTTTCCAAGCGTTAAAAACGATTAAAAATAGCCAGATATTTAGATTCTTAGTGACTGTTAACAAATTGAGTTGTGGAAATATTTCTGTTAATGTATCTCTTTCGGACATATTTGTTTAAATTTTAAAACGAACCATCCAACGTTAAAAACATTCACAATAATTCTCTCTCTCTTTGTTCTTTTAACACCCTTTTAACAGACTAAATAACAGCCAAGAATAGTATATTCTTTTGTATTTACGAGAAAACGTTGCTTGTTGTCGATGTATCATATGTTAATCGTTTTCGACAAAAGACAGAACAATCTCTTGGATAGCAATCATGCATAGCTGTAACGTTTCGTTCCTATCAATTTAGTTTTGTCTAAAACTTTACTCAATGGGAACTCGTGTACGTCAAGTGTCCCACTGCGTGGTAAAAGGCCATATTCTAAGTTTAAAAAGCAGGTTCAATTTGAGAGAGAATAGTATTTGACTTACTTTCATATGCGTAATGAAGATAAGCATTTGCGTGCAGCCACGGGTACCACGGTCCGGGAGTAAAAGGGGCCGACGGTGCAAGGTGGAAATCCCGCCGAGGCAAATCGTGTGCCAGCCCGGTACCTCTCTCCTCTATGCTGCGGTCGTATTTGAGCTGAAGTTCCTGTGCGTCTCTGCTCGATACAACAACAGCCGCTGTCGCGGAGGCATCCTCTGACAGGGACTTTGCTGATTTAGTGGAGGATGAAGAGGCGAGGATACTCTCGATGCTGAACGGTTTACTGGCCATTGGTGCCCGTCCTGCTAGCCTGTCTATCCTGGTGTCTGCGATCAAAATGCCCAATCCGCTCTGCCTGCGTACTTGTTTGCAGAGTATCAACAATGATATCTGGAGCAAGAATGGCACATTCAGAGCAATTTCTAATGACGCAGTGTCATCCCTGAATCAGGGTGGTCAGGATAATGGGAACGGTTACGACACAGCCGTGGAAGATCGGTTCAAGTGCTGCCGTTTTAGCCCTGTGGGTTGGACGGTCTGCTGGCATCAAGCTTCCTGTCAGGAACTAATTAGGGGAAGCATAAAAGATGCGCTTTCTGCGACGAAATAAAAAAAAACAAAACAAAACAAGTAGGATGGTCTGGAATTGGGTAAGCACGAATCGGAAAGAGATCCGGTGACACTGTGGTAACAGGAACACATGGAATTGGTGGACGTGTACCATCAACGAATTAATTTAGCTGCAAGCACAACCATCACCTGTGTGTTGAGTGTCAAAGGTTGTCAGGGTTGTCAGGGGTTTTTCTTCCTCTTTTTTCGTTTTGTAGCAGAGTGATGTACCGTCCTCCCATATAGCCTGGGGTGATGAGATGATGTCACCGCATGGCCTAAAACGCACCCATCCGAAACATCCAAAGCCTGGCTGGCGCCGACCACCGATTCAGATAATAATATCTTAATAAAGATACCGCAAAGGGGTTAAATAGACTACAGGGGGAACAAGAGCTAGACCAGTAGGCAAGAATGGGAGAGAGGATTAAAGAATAGATTGCAGCGATGCGACTCCTCCTACTCACGCACACCTGTGTTTGTCTATGTCGTCTGAACTCCTCCTACATACGAAAAGCATTATTGAAACTTTTATAGACTGTAAGGTTTACACTCTACCACAGAAATTTTGCATTAAATTTTGAGGAGTTTTGCATTGGCTATGAGCTCTATATGTATATGCAAGATTTACAGGATTTGGCAGCTTAAGAAATTGTCAAATTTCATACACAATATATTGCTCTCTGCACAAATGAAATTTAACACTGTCGGCCTACACTTTTCTCCCCGCTCCTCCACGGTTGCCTACACTTGTAATTTGTGTTACTATTTTCATTGTCCCAGTAATAGAGGAAGGAATTGTATTGATTTATAAGCAAGCTATTACCGCAAACTGCCTGAGCAGATAATCAGAACTGTTGATTTAACGCTCCTTTGTGGTACTGGAGAGCTACAGCCACCACGTCCCCTTGAAGGGAGCGACAAGCCGAGGAGGGGGGGACAGTGACAGACACTGTGGCAGTGTGGCTTGGACCGTAAACAGGGAGGGCGGGCTGGACCCATTACAAAGTGAGCAACTGGCGCATCGGGTTGAATGCGGCATTACCGTGTAAATCGAAATGAATGGGCCACGAACGTAGCTTGATAGCCTGACTGTCTCCTCTATTATCCGCACTGATCGGTTTCTTTTCACAGCATCATTAGGCCCATCATCTACCAACAAAGATGAACCCAGACAAGGAGCTGTAAGGACCCGACATTATGTCTAGCCAAAGGCAGCTAGGTGATCACACTCCTCCTACCTTTTGTTTCCTCCGGCATCTGTGCATCACAATTACTTTCGGCCAATCACCAATTCGCATCTCCAGTCTCCACTGAATGCTTCTCCTCGCTATTCATAATCTGGCTTTGGTCCTATTTTGTTTGGACATTTATCACTCTTTTCCTCTTCTTTTGTTCTTTTCCCCTTTTGTTCGAAATTCTTCTGAGTTACTGTCGGAGCACTATTGGCAAATGTATATGCCAAGAAGTAAAACCTGACTTCAGAAGATCTGGTCAGTCGTTGACTTGTCAAAACTTGAGGAACCCAGGTCTTGGGTGGGGAAGGGGGCTAAATGGACTTTGCAAAAATATATAATTTGTTTTCCTCCGTAAGAGAATCCCCAACCTCACGAAAGGTGGTTGTACGTTGCCGGAATGCTTGCTCATAGAGTGGTTGTTTAAAATTCTGGGAAAGTTACACTTATTTTGTATAGGGTGGAGGGTTAAAAACAAGCCAAAGGCTCTGACAGAAGCTTGTGCACGCAAAATGTCAACAGTTAGCTACTGCGATAAACGATCATCGTCAAATTCGTATAGCAAATGTACTATATTTCCTTACCACCCGTTTTGTCATGAGATAGACAGTGAAGTGCAGGCGACCATTTTCCTCATGGGTCTATGCACGTGTACTTGAGACCTAATAAAAATTAAGGATCTCAGAATACAGTTCGTATTCCTGCGAAATTTGGTTGAAATTAGGTCCGAAAACTGTTTCGTTTTATTTCAAAATTGAGGGAGCTTCTCTAAAAATGGGCTTCCAGAGCTTCAGGAGTTCGCCATCAAATTTATCAAATATACCCCTCCCCAATTCCTAGCGGAACACAAAGAAAAATTGCGAATCAAGCTTTTTGGAAGTGATTGTATCCATCCATTGGTGTTTAGTCATAAATACAAATGTTGAAAGACAATCACTTGCATCTTTTCTCCAATCTTTTTTTGGGGGGACTTACAGAAACTACTGACATTACATTATAAAGATAGCACAGTATAGTCTACAATGATAGTTACCACTTCCCATGGGACGCCATCGTTATCATTTTTCCAATTAAATAATTGATTAATTAGCGTCCTCAAACTTTCTTCAACTGATTTCACAAAACCTAAGGTTATTTACAGTTTTGTAGCAAATTGATAATAGCTTGTGCCTTTTTGAAAAATTTAAATACTCGTTTATAGCTTCGCTCGTGAAACACACATTCTAGGAATGGATTATGTTGTCCAAAGCATGCATTCCCTAAAATAGGAATTTTACGTACTTTTAAGTGAAAAAATCAATTTGGTAAATTGCAATGAACAAAATCTGGTTGAATATCTGCAGCACAATCGACAAGGTGTAATGGGGTTATGACTGCTTGTGAGACCAGACTGTGATAAAAATGGGAGACATTGATCGGAAAAGCTTCATAATGAGGTTTTTTTTTGGGGGGGGGGTTGTTTATGTTCATAATTCAGCAATTACGATGCTTGTGCTACTGGAAAAAAAACAGGTAAACACATTGTGAAGTAATTCAACCTATAATACTTTCATAAAATGCAGTAAGAAAAGGCTGAAAAAATTATCCTGTTATCAAGGATTAATAATTGTTCCCTAAATTCTGACTCCTGAGACCATTTAACGGAATCCAAGATGACGTATAGGGGACACATTCGTGTTGTCCAAACCCCGAGAATTTCTTCACAACCCCCAGATAAAGACGATTTATAATTCTCCCAGCAACTGATTGTGTCGATAGGCCTATGCGATGCTGAATCAAACACGAATTGCTAGTTGATACTCAATTCGGAAAATCGCACGACTGCACTTTTATTTATTCAAACGGCTTCCACATCTGTCGTCTAATAGGTGATATCTAGCTTCACACCTTCTAGAAAACCAAATCATGATTTTATTACTGTCTGCTATACATGTATTTTACATGGTCCGGATACTGAACAATAGAGAAGTGTCATACAGGTGCGACAGTACTCAAGTAGGGGTTACTCGGGTACCGTAAGTCCTTTCCTGTGGACACGTGTCAACCATCAGAAGGTCGCAGCCGCCCTGTTGTATGTTCGCGATGACATGCCCGTTTTCTGATTTCGCGGAGGTGTTAAAAGCGTTGGTTTATTCCGTCTCATAGCCGGTCACTGGTGTGGACCATGGAGGTGTGGACTGAGCGCGGGCGGCGGATAGACGGTCATCAACCCTCTCGACTTACTCCCTGGGACTGTCAGACGCTATTCCCGTCAGTAGCTCTACGTCGGCTCATCCGTCACCGAACAATAAGATACCCCAGAATCAGCCGAAGACTGCTAAATGTGGGTCAGAGCAGGGAGCGGAGCAGTCGTTTACGCGGACGCGCCTCACTTGTCCTTTTGTGCGCCGTCTGGTTTTGGCGTCAGGACCGCTTACCCGCATTGTTAGTTCTCATGGCCGATCTGTGACAATTTACCAGAGGAAAAACCACTACAAAGGAGGAAAAGCATGTACAAATGCTTTAAAAACCTTTTTTTCTTGTTCGGTTTTAAAACGGGATACTTAGGCCGTGTATATTCACCTCCTGCGTGCAACAATCATTGCATGTATCCACTGGCTTATTCCTATGTCAATCATATTTCATAAGGTAATGATGGATGGAGATGGCATTAGGCGTTTTAAGTGCCCCCCAACAATGGGACGATCGTTGGTAGCGTTGTGAATAAATCATGAGTGACAAACAGTGACCATATTCAAACAGATGAGAACCGTCTGATATCGTACAGCAGCAGCTGCTTTTACTGCTTTGCCGGGAAGTTTTACTTCAGTGCATGACGACAGGGCGGGTATCACTGTCAGTCAGCAAACTGACCTGTTTGTTCTAGTTAAGTTTTACCGTACAGCTCTCATATAAACTTGATCTGCCAATATTATACGACACGTTACAAAAGCTGACTGTTTCTACTCCACTGGTTCATTCTGGGTCTTGTTTGGCAACATTTTATTTATTTGAAGTGATTGTATTTGCCCCATTTATGAATATGATGCAAGAGAAATGAACCCACATGAGTATGACTGGCAGGGTTGAAATCCTTGACAACCGCAAATACAACCAAAAAACTTCTTTTGCGAAAATGCTGGCCGGAATAATAAATTATGTTGCGCTAATGATCCATTTGTGGTTTGAAATTATCATCAGTGACCACTTCGGAAAGGAACCTCAAAGTAAGGTCCCACAGGGATAAGATTCGGAAAAACCGAGGAAGGCTTATGAAGAATGGACGCGCGCTGCCGACGAGACACTTAATATGGCGTCTATCGGTTCATGTGTCACTCTCGTGCAAAGTGCGAATGGGTGACGGTCTCGCATCGGTAACAGGTGTCATATTTATTGCACTACTTTAATGGGTTTTATTTCATGTCATCGGTGACGATTTCAGGGCACTTTTCAGGCCAATTTGGTATCTGTGAGGCTGATGAGGATTGGAAGGACATAACTGCTATGCTGATACTGTTGTCGATGGTGGTGATGATGCTTTTGATGACGACGATGAAACGTACGTGAAAAGACAGAAATGTACACCCCAATCGTGGCTTCCCGATGGTATCTTCATTAAAACAGATGTAAGGCCATATTAATGGTTATCTTCGTGTTTGTCAATCGTTTTAATGAAATCTTTTTATCAGATGGAAATGCATGACATATTGAACACTTATTCTGATTCTTGTTTAGAACTCGTATTTTAATCTTATTCGCCGTTTTCAGATTGTCTCGAAATACCAGCCTAGACAGAATCAATTTCAAATACAAAATATCTCAGTCATGACTGAAAATTTTACAGCAAATAGCTCGAATCTTCATGACGTTAGGCAAATTAGGTGGGCTGGAATGTAAAATCAGTAAAAAATAAAAGGTAAAGGCTCAGATACATTTAAATATAATCAAGAAAATATACACCTTTCATTGATTACACAGTGATCTTTCCAAGGTAAGGTTAACCATTATTTCAACAACGTTGTTGCATTACTGAAATG